AGGAGGAGGAGGAAGAGGAGGAGGAGCAGGAGGAGGAGGAGGAGGAGGAGGAGGAGGAGGAGGAGGAGGAGGAGGAGGAGGATGGGGTCGACGACGACGAGGAGGTGGGTGTGGTTGGGAGTTGAGGGTGAGTAGGAGGAGACATGTGCACGAAAGGGGAGGGGGACACGGAGGCGGCGGACGACGGAGGAGGGGGAGACGTGGGTTGGGAGCGATGGTGGAAGAATGAACTGACGAGTGGGAGGGGATTTACGACAGGTTCGTGTCGTGCCGACTTCGGCGTTGATTCCTGACGCCGCGGGGATCGTTCAACCTTGAACGATCGGCCGTTTCCGAAACGTCCAAATCGTTCCACATCGAACGATTCTGGGTCGCCCGCGGCGTTTAAGTGGAACGCCACTGGCGGGGTCGCCGCCAGTCGACACGACACGAACCTACCGTAGCAAGCTCCATTGATTGCCGTCTTTCTCTTGCTGCTCCTCTTGGGCATTGATGGCATTAGATCCGAAGTTCGAGCTGCCACGTCGATCGCCCAGGGGTGGTCATCCCTGCGGGAGGGTACGATTGTCTTGATGACTGTCACATTGATGATGATGACGTTCGAAACGACAGATGACGACGGACGACTGTCGACGAAGGACTGGTGACTACGACGTCGAATACCGGCGATGACGTTGATGACCGACGACGACGACGATGACGACGACGACGATGAGGACCGCCTCTGACGGACTACGACGACTGATAACCGACGAACGACGGACGACGACGACGGATGAGTGGTCGCCAGAGGTCCCCTGAGGTCTCCAGATGTGGGTCTACGAGCTCGATCCTCGGGCCTCGACCCTCAAAACTCGAACCATGCGGACGGTGGCGGCGGTGACAACGACGACAGACGACGGATTAAACACGAAGTGTTGCAGGTAACAATTGTCAGTGCGATGGGTGCGGGGTGGCTGCGTGGTCGTATCCCCCTGCCAAGTCTCTGGGGAGCTGGTCACTCGACAGCTCTCCGGGCCGCCGTCATTCGAGGCGTGGAGGGCGTGCTGTCGGGTTCTCCGCACAGGAATTCTCATGTTGAAGGCGTGCCAGCCGGGCCCACTGGACGGCTACGAGGAGGGAGTCCGCCTCCTTGCGCATACTTTCCCCCAGTACTGGGGGGTCGTGTGCCAGGCAGACGATGCCACGAGGGCAGAGCACTGGGAGAGGATCCGCTGGGACATCGAGTCCAAGGTGGAGGCGGGCACCTACCAGGAGCCGTTCGACCCAAAGAGGCCCTGGGAAGCTGTCCTTCGTGAGGCAGCCTGCGGGGAAGACAGCAAACGCTCCGGGTGGTGGTACGAGAACGTCGACAAACCGTGCTTGACTAAGCCACCTCCCCGCGCGGAACTCCAGCTACCCGCGGCGCAGCCTGCAGCCGCAGGCGCCGCCTCTGCGGGCACGGGCGGGCGGCCTGGCCAGGCCAGGGGCGCGACGACCGGCAGACCAAGAATGCCAAGACCCAGGCCCCCAAGGGGCTCGCAGCCCTCGAGCGCCGGAAGGATGGCCGTTTCCTCCGCGACAACAGCGGGAAGGAGCTGTGCGTCGCGTGGAAACAGGTCCAGCCACGGGTGCAGGGAGCCGTGCTGGTCGAAGCCGCCCCGCACGCACGAGTGCGAATGGTACCTGGGGCCGCGCCGCGCGGCGGACGAGTGCTGCCCCGCGCAGAGGCGCCCCAAGTGCTGGATGCCCTGATCCCCGGCCGGGGACGTGCATCAGCGCGCCCGGAGGAGCCGATCCAGCTCTTCCGGCGCCGTCAACGCATTCAGATACACAGTTTTCCTGCGAGGCCTTGGAGAAGGGCGCAGAGCCCACCTGGTGCTCAACCTCTGCTCCGCTGCTCTTGTTGGCCAGTTTGAAGCCCCATCTGTCGCGGCTGAAGCATGCGCGCCTGCGGCTGCGCCGCGCGCGAGCAGCGCGTGCTGGCGCTGACGCGGCCGACTTGGCAGCGGCGGCGGGGGCAGCCGCGGCTTGCGCCGACGCTCCAGTGCCCCGGCATCCTTGGGTCGGCGAGCCAGAGGAGAGCGCCCGCCAGGCACGCCTCCCAGAGGACGCAGGCTGCCCAGCCGGCCTGAGGAACCCACAGGGCATCTGGAGCAGTTGCCAGAGCCGGTGAAGGCAATGGCGCCTGTGAGGGCTGCCATCCTCCAGGCGCGCGCAGAGTGCCCGGAGCTGGTCCACCTGGCGGCCGCCTGCGGCGAGGCCCCCGGCCGCCCGCCGCCCTCGGCGCACGCCGCGGCCGGCCTGCGCGCGCGCGTGTCGACAGCGCTGTGCCTGCCGCCCAGCGCCGGGGAGCCGCGCCATCCTGCGCCCCCCTGCAGGTGCCTCCTGGTGCAGGCGGTCCAGCAGCAGGCTCCCCATCCAGACTACCGCGTTGGGGAGTGGCTGCAGCGCGGCGCCCCGATGGGAATCGCTTGCAAAATCGAGCCGGGCTGCCTGTTCCCACTCGCGCCTAAGGCCGCGGAGCTCTCGATCGAGGAGCTGGCCGCACTTCCCTCGCACAACGGCAACCGCCCGCCCATCGATGAGCGCTTCGGGGGGTCGCAGCCCCCGACGAGGGCCATCCTGGAATAGTGCATCCAGAAGGGCTTCGGGGAGACGTTCCGCTTTCGCGGGGCGGCCGAATCTGCGCTGGGCGAGACGTTCCCCGCCCCCTTGGGCAACGTTGCCAAGCGGAGGGTTGATGGCACGTTCAAACATCGCATCATACAGGACCAGAGGTCGAACAGGGTCAAGGGTGCATCGTCCACCTCGGATAGGGTCATTCTCCCGCGGGGGCTGGGTCACGCTGTCGGCGTCCGCGCCAGAGGGTCTCCACGGGGTGCGCGCTTTCATCGTGGATTTCGCCGGCGCGTTCATGGGCGTGCCTTTGAGGGAGTCCGAGCGGCAATTCACTTGTGCAGAATTGACGCGCCCGCTGGGCACGGGGCACACTTTCGTCGTCTGGCGCGTGCTCGGCTTCGGCGGGAGAGCGAACGCGCAGGTGTTTGGGTGGGTCGCAAGCTTCGCCTGCCGGTCCGGGCAGGCAGTTCTCCGCCATGCCACCGCGCGGCTGCGGCAGTGCGTGGGTGTCCCCATATTGGCGGTGGCAGGCGACGCGGCTACTGCGCGCTGGGATATTGATATCCTATTGTGCTGGTGGATAGCCCCGGGCATGCCGCCGGCCTGGAAGAAGGCTGAATTCTCGCCCGCTCTGACGCAGCACGCGTGGGTCGGCATCAATTTTCACGTGCGGGGAAACGTTGCCGTCGTGTCTCTGCCGGAGGCGTGCGTCCACGAGATGTTGGACCTGCTTCGGCCGTTCTGCCGGCAGAGGCGTGACCGGCGCGCGCCTGGCCCGGCCCCTGCTCGGGATGGCCGCGCGCGTGGCGCAGGTCGCCCCGGAAGTGTCGCCCTTCGCAGCCTCCTCGTGGGGCGGCGCTCGCAGACTCGACGAGGGCATCCTCGCAATCCAAGCGAGAGGCGCCCCCGGGCAAGGTCCCAGTTCGGGGGTTCTTTGCCGCTTCGGGCTGGTTCCTGGCGCTCTCGTCGACCGAGTTGTTCCCACTGGAGCGGTTGGCGCGCAGCCCGGCGCCGTCGACGCGGCTGCCCCGGTTGCCGCGCAGCGTGCACTTCGATGCTTCTCCCTGGGAAGGCGGGGCGGCGCTGTTCGAAGCCCGCCAGCCCCGGGAATATTTCTGCACCAAGTGGTCGGCGAGCACCTGTCGGGGGCGACCCCAAGGCGCAGTCAGCATGTGAGTTCCTCGCGCTCCTCTCGTCGCTGATGGTGTGGGGCGCGCGCAGCGCCGATGCCGCGCTGCTCGTGCTCGGCGACGACATCGGCGCCTTGACAGGCGCCCTGGCGCTAGAGGGCAAAGGCTTGATGAACGCCTTTGCGCGCAAGCTGTCCCGGCGCAAGGTCGCGTTCGAGTGGCAGTTCGAGGTCGCGCACCTGCCGTCCGACTTCAAGCGGCTGGCAGACGCGCTGTGCCGATTGCGCGCCCATCCTCCCGAGGCTTTCCCCGCCGCCTTGGCTGGCCGCCAAAGTCGCGCGGTTCCATCGTTGGATGCGATGTGGCGGGCGCGGGTGTGAGCGCCCCCCGGCGATTTCCACGCCCGGGGCGAAAGCCGACGTGGGCGGGGCGCGGGGGCGCGCAGCCATGTTGCATTATATGCATGCGGGCTTGTAGCCTGGAAAAAATCAAAGCGCTTTCTGCCCCCCCTGCCATGCCCGCGCTTGCTGCCGGCCCTCCTTCCCTGCCCCCCCCCCCCCCTTTCGTCTTCTCCTCGCCCTCCCCTTGTTCGAGGGCGGGGGCTGGGGCAAAGGCCGGCGGCGGCCGTCAGGGGCCCGACCGTGGACCAAGAGCTTCGGGCCGCTGTGCAGGCAGGCGACTGGGGCCGCCGCGCAGACAGAGCCCGGCGCTTATGGGGGCGCGCTCGGGGCCCCCGCGGGCCTCCTCCACGGCGCGTTCATTATCGCCACCCGCTGTTCGTCTCGATTTCCATCCCTCGTCGTCGCAATTTCGTTTATTTCCTGCGCTGGAGTGCCGGCAGTGCGCCGGAGTGCCAGCAATTCGTCTGCGACCGATTTGATCTCCCGCACGCGCGCGCGTTGCCTCGGCAGGCGCGCGCAATATGCGCGCGAGGCAATTCGGCTCAGCAGGAGGGGGCATATGTGGGAAGCGCCCCGAGATGCTTCGGAAAGTGCGCCCGCGCGAAGATTTGAGGGCCCCGGCCGCTCTACAGCGACACAGGGGCAATGCCGTGCCAGGGAGGGGAACGCCATCTGGGTCGACGGCGGCATCTCCGCCGGCGTGGTGTTCAGAGAGGGCGGCATTCGAGTTGATCGCAGGCGATGGGCAAATGCGCATGCGACGCACCGGAGTCGCAACCATCAGCGCCGGCCGAGCCCGTCAAGACTGCCGCTGTTGGGTGGCCGCCCCTATGCGCCGTGATGCACCAGCGCGGGCGCCGTATGGCAGGGGGGAGACGCCTCAATTGGAGTCTGACGCTGCCCGTGATCAGGCTTTGCAGTGTCTGGATATTGACGTCTATGCAGCGTCCACCCTCTCAGCCGTGCCGGCCCGCGTCCGTTCCGTCGAGGCAATGCTGCGCCAGTGGGGCCAGGGGCCGCGGCCCCTCGCAGCGACCAAAGTGCGTGCGCTTGGGGCGACGCTGAAGGCGGGCAAGTACCGTTCGGCATCCATGTGCTTATCGACGTGCCAGGTGGAAGCCGAGCGCTGGGGCTGCCATCTTACAGGCGGCACGATGCATGTGCTCAAAGACGCCACGCGGTCGTGCAATCGAGGTCTTGGGCCCCCTGTCTGGGCCATTCCGTTCGCTCTCGCGGACTTCGAGCGCCTGCCAGGCAACGGCGATCCTTGGGTCAGGCGTGGGCGGGTTGGTCCGCGGAACTGCTTCGCGGCGGGCGCGTGGCGGTTGGCGCGGGAAGAAGAACTCAGCGCGACGCGCGCTTGCGTGGTGCGCTTGTGGGGCGACGGGGCTGATTTGGTTGCGTCGTGGCGTTTGCCGGCCTCTAAGATAGACTCGGCCGCCTTCGGCGCAGCCCGGTCTCACGGGCGCTGCCGCGGCGAGTCTCTCGGCGTGGCGACGTGTCCGGCCCGCGTCGTGTTGGCGCAAATTAGCGCGCTGAGGCAGTTGCCCCCGCTGCGGTTCTCCCGGGACGGGGCCCCAGACGCCGATCTTCCTTCTGTTTCCTATGGGCGAGGGCCACGCGTGCACTGGGGGCGCCATGGTCGCGCGCATCGCCGCGGCGGCGGACATTCTCTATCTGCGCGGTGCTGGGGCGGACGGCGTGCATCGTTGGACTGGCCATTCTTTGCGCGTCGCAGGCGCGCAGTTCTTGGCTGGCGCGGGGCTTGGCGCGTTGGCGATGCAGCTCCTCAGAAGATGGGGGTCGGATGCCGTCCTGGGGCACATCTGGGGCGCCTCGCTGGCGTCGTCGAGCACGTGGGCCCGGCAAGCTGCGCGAGGCCGGACTCTGAAAGAGTTGGAGGAATCGGTGCGTCGTGGCTTGTCTCCCCGCCCGCGGGTCGCGTGCTCGGCGGGAAAGGCCAGGTCTCCGCCGTGGACAACGTCGTCCGCGCGGTGGCCAAACAAAGCGCCCCCCCCGGGAGCGTAGTGCACCAGGCCAGCGAGATGTACGACAATCTGAGGGAGAGCTTGGCCCGCTGCGCAGGCATCCCCGCGCGGCCGCCCACCGCGCCATTGACGGCGCGTCCGGAATACCACCTGGCGGTGAACATAAATTCGCGCATCGTGCACAGGCCGGGCGCACCGCGCCCGCGCCGTGTGGTTGGGTCACTGCTTGCGGCTGGAAACCATCTGATCCAGCAGCGGTGACAATGGAGCATACCTTGCCTTCGTCCCACAAGGAGATGTGCTGCAAGTGCCTTCCAGCAGAGCGCGCGTGCGCGAAAGCGACCGCCCAGTAGTAGGAGCTCTCTTGCCTGCCCAGGATTAATAGGGGGGTCCAGCAGTCGTCGCAGACGTGACCGGGCCACTCCCGGAGCAGGGCCGCACCGCAATGGAAAAATGAGGCGGGAGTGGCGCGCGGGCGGTTGGGCGGGACAGCACGTGCACAATTGTTGGATTAAATTAAACACGAAGTGTTGCAGGTAGCAATTGTCAGTGCGATGGCGGGGGGGGGGCCGCATGGTCTTATCCCCCTGCCAAGCCTACGGGGGGCCAAGTTCGACCTTACCCGACAGGCTCATGGCAATAGGGGGACATTCCTTCCTTATCCCGCGCCGTTGCTTATCCCATATATTCTTGGCCAGAGATGCCCATGCAGCGCCCTAAGTTTCCTCCCATCCTGCAATTTCCTATCTTGCCTTGTTTCTCATCGTTTCCCCAATTCGGCTTGCCGTGTCGTTCATAGTTGGGTTCTTTTTGGCTTCCCATCTCTTCCCATACTTTGCATGTCCATTGCAGTCGTCACAGACGTGACCGGACCAATCCCGGAGCAGGGCCGTTTCGCAATGGAAAAATGAGGCCGGAGTAGTACACGGGCGGTTGGGCGGGACAGCACGTACACAATTGTTTGTTGAAGACAACAAAGTGACAACGACGACCGACGGCGTCGGCGGCAACCACGACCGACGACGAGGGACTGCGGCAACCACGACGGAAGGCGCCGACGACAGTGAGGGCGACAACGACCGACGACCGACCACGACCGACGACGACCGACCACCGACGTCGACGACCGACGACAACGGCGACGACTGTCGGCGGCGACGACCGTCGGCGATGCGCGCGGCGCCGCCAAGGCGGCCTGCGCGGCCGAGGACCTGAGACGCCGGGCGCAACTGCAAAACAGGCTGGCGGGGGTCTGCGAGGACGCCGGGGCAGAGTCCCCTGCTGGTGCCGCCACCCGCCGTGGCCGCCGCCGCCGCGTTCGTGGCGGTTGCTGTCGCCGTCGCCGCGGTCGTCGTCGCCGCCGCTGCGGTGGTGGTCGTGGTGGTTCGAGGGACATAAAACGGTATGAACATACACTTTTGGCGATCTGCGCGGGTTTCTTGGATCTGCGCTGGCAAACCCCCTGGCGGCGCCTCTTGCGCCGCCCGTGGCGCGCTCCGAGGCTCCATGCGCCAGGGAAGGGGGTCCCAGCGCAGATCCAACAAATCCGCGCGGACCGTCAAGAATTTATGTATATTCCGCCTGTGGTGGTGGTGGTGGTGGTGATGGTGATGGTGGTGGTGGTGGTGGTGGTGGTGGTCGTCGTCGTCGTTGCTATCGTCTTTGTCGTCGTCGTCCTCATCCTCCTCCCGTCCTTTTTGAAGGGGTGGGGAGACGAGAGGAATAATGATGCGGAGAAGGAAGAGGAAAAAGAGGAAGGAGGGGGATGGGGAAACAGAGGAGGATTGGGAGGAAAATGTGGAGGACAACTGCCTCCCAGAGGTGTCCAGAAGTCCCTGGGGGCCTCTGGATGTCCGCGGGGGTCCCCAGAGGCCTACGGAGGCCCCTAGAGGCCCCCGAAAAAGGAGAACAGCGTTGAAAATGAAACCCGATCTTTGAGCCTCGAACCTCGAACGATGAGGACGACGACGGTGGCGACAACGACGACGGTCGATGACAACGACCGACGACGACGACGGCGGCGGCGACATTGACGACGACGACGACCGACGACGACGACTGCGGCGACGACGACGACGACGACGACGGCGACGATGAGGACCACGACGACGGACGACGTCGACGACGACGACGACGATGACGACTGCGACGGACGACGACGACGACGACGGCGGCGGCGGCGGCGGCGACGACGACGACGACGACGAGGAGGACGACGACGGCGGCGGCGGTGGCGGCGGCGGGGGCGGCGACGACGACCAGCGACGGCGGCGATACCGACCGACGACCGACGGCGGCGACCACGACGCCGCTTCGACTTGCTCTTCGCTGTTTTCGTTGATCAGCCCAAGCGTGCCAGCACGCAAAAGAGTGCCAACCCTGGCGGCGCAGGCCCTTGCTTCCCTGCCGGAAGTCTTTTCCTGACTTGTACCCAGGAGGAGGATCGGTATACGCTTCCCGGCCGCCCTGGGACATGCGTCCATGTCGGCGGGGAAGGCTCCATTATTCCCCGAGCGCGTTCCACTACTCGCAAAGTGCCTACTCGCAAACGTCAGAAAAACCATACGTCTGCCTTGGTGCGATGTATCGTACATTCCCTGCGGCGGATCCCAGGCCCCTTGCGAGCCGCGACTTTGCGAGTAGTGCAACGCGCTTGCCTAATCATGCTGCTCCTCGTCCGCCGCGCGCGCGCGCCACGCTCAAACTACTGGCCCGCGCGCTGCCGCGAAATGCGCGGCGCGTCCCGTGCGGCCTCCCGCGGGCGCGCCCGAGCACCAGGCGAGCCCGCGGGCCCACGGGCCCGGCACACCGAGACGAGGACGGCTCCGTGCCCAGGGCGTCGCCGTGGTCTTCGGGCCGCCCCTCGGAGCAACGTCAGGGGAGGACTCCGCACGGTCCTGGGCGGGGTGGGTTCTCAGGTTCCGCCTCGGCGATCACAACGCGCGATTGGGGGTCGATTTGTCCCCGCCTGGGCCTGTCCTCCCCTGGCGTTGCTCTGAGGGGCGGCCCGAAGACCACGGCCTGTCCTGGGTACAGAGCCGTCCTCGTCTCAGTGTGCTGGCCGTGGTCTTCGGGCCGCCCCTCAGAACAACGCCAGGGGAGGACAGGCCCAGGCGGGGACCCATCGACCCCCAGTCGCGCAGGGCTGGACCTTAACGGTGTTTTGGCGATTTCGTGGGCCGTTTTCGTTTCGATGTCGCTTTGCGGGAGAGGCGGATTGAAGACAAAACGAGGGGATACAAATACAGAACGCGCACGAAGAACACCGTTTAGGTTCAGCCCTGCAGTCGCGCGTTGTGATCGCCGAGATGGGGCCTGAGAGCCCACCCCGCCCAGGACCGCGCGGAGTCCCCATCGGGGGCCCGTCGCAAGTCTGTCGGCGACGTTTCGCGGACTCGAGCTCGGTGCAGTGGAAACCCGTGCCAAGAAGCACCCTGCTCGCCTCCAGGGCGCCCTGGGTTTCTCGGGTTTCGATGGTTTTGCGCTGGAGAGCGCGCCACGTTCCCACGCCAAACATTTATCGACGTCCTGGGGTCTCGGGGTTGGGTTTCTTGTGGAAGGTTTCTTGTGGACTGGCCTCCACTGTATTTCGCCCCCACCCCCTGTCTTGGCAAACCGCGGATGCAGATGAGGGTTCGGGAGAAGGTGGCCTCGTTGATATCGACGCACATCCGAATTCGACCCAGACGGTGCTGAGGTTGAGGTGCCACTCTCCGCGACGGAGCGACTCAAAAAGAGTGCGGCCTCAATCTCACACTTGCTAACGCATGCTCGTAATAACCCTTTTTGCTCGTTGTGTAACTGGGCAAAGGCCATGCGGCGCCAGCAAAAAGACGCAACATAAAGGGCTGAGGGTACCGAGGCCATGCGCAAACGCCACCGCGTTCGGACACCTGACCACCATGGAACACTGGCTTGCGATGGATGACCTATCGCGGGGGCTCCACGACGAGATCGCGTGCGTGACATGTTTGGCGACCGGGCGACAGATTTCATACAGCACCGGGCGTGCACGACAAATCGGCGATTCACGTATGCTTTTTGGATTAACTTCCAAGCCCCAGGAGCAAACTTATAATACTGTTATACTGACGGTGCGAGAGAACTTGCACGGGCGTGCGTCGAACTAAGGATTGCACATGACCCTACCATCACTGGCAACAAGAAGCTTATGGCTGTTGGTGAACGATCCAATTGACTTGTTCAGATGGGGACTAGGGCGCTGCTTATGCAGGCAGGCCTTTTTTTCCCACCATTTTGGACACATGCTGTCCGATACTTCTGCTTTTGCTATAACGCAAGGATTCCTGACGAAGGTGCGTCGTCATGGAGGCGCAGATTCGGACATGAGTTTGCAGCCCCACTTTTTCCATCTGGTTCCCTTGTTCGATTCATGCATCCCCCTGAATTTCGATTTCGGATCGCCCAAACAGGCGGGGCGATGGCTACTGGGGTTTACCTCGGCAATGTACACAAAGCGGGTGGCATGGTTAGGCCAGAGAGCCACGTGACGCCATTGCGACAACTTGACGATCTGAACATGGATACGGGGCGGGCGCCAGCTGGCAAGCGCCCGATCATCGAGAAGCCATATCAAGTCTACACCAATATTTTGGACGGTACTGCGCCAGACCAGGAACCTAAGTTTCCTATGCGTGAAGCATATGAGATTGCACAGACAGGGGTCAAGAACGTCGTTATTTCCCCAGGCAGTCCCTCTGACGGCTCAGCCGGTCAAGGGGCCCGATTAGGGCCACGGGCGACACAGTCGTTTGGTGACAGGGATCCAGGTGCACCGAAACCACCGTCTCTGGCACGAGGCGAGGCCGCACCGCCACCAAAATATGATGACAACTCCGATGACGATGGTCCGGGGGGAGTCATTGTGGGTGACGTGCCTGTGGTACCTGACGGCTGGGGTCCCCGGCGTGATTCGAGACCAGACGACGACGCGAAACAAAAGTTCGGCCTTGCTCATGTTGGATGCAGATCGGGTCGTCAGTCTA